ACAAAAATCTCGGAAATTTTCGAAGATCCCCCCACAAAAAAAGAGAACTCAGAGAATTGGCAAAAAATCAAAGTTTGCAAATAAAATGAAAAAATTTGAATGATTTAGATTAATACATTTTCTAGAGAAGTTTGGGAAATTTCTGAGAACCAAAAAACAGTGTAACTGAGATTAATCTTTGAAATTCTGTAGAAAAAAACTTGGGAATTTCTGATTTTCAAAAGTTAAATGTTTTCCACTTTTGGAATTTTTCTGGTTTTTTTTATTCTAAAATAATTCTGAGATTCATCTCAAACTTTCATGAGCTTCTTTTGCAGATAATTTACTCTTTTTTTCCCTTTTATCTACAAAAGCCCTAGTACACGGTTGTAAGATCCACCTATATATAAACATTTTTGTGAAACTGAAGAAGTTATTTTGAATCATTGCTTTGTCCACGAACCTTTTCTAAAGCGATACTTAAAATATATAAATGCTGAAAACACAGATAATGTCACACAGCAGCGGCAAAGTTACCAGGAAGTCGATGTTGTCGTCTTCGTTCTTGAAATGTTCCATCAGCTTCTCGAAACGCATCGACTCGTTACACACCTGCAACAGATCAGGCTGTTAACCAGAGAGCAGATCAAGGCGTCAGCCGGCCGCCGCCATTAATAAAAGAAACAAAGGGAGGAGGACATTTTATGAGTTTAAAATGTGGAAAATTTTACAATTTTGAAACTCAGAAATTTCCAAGTTTCTTCAATAAAATTTCAAATTTTCAAACTAAAAAATTCTGATTTATTTCCAGAGAATTTTTTAGATTGATTTAGAAATTTGAGACTTTTCCTAGGAAAATCTTGACTTTTCTAACTCAGATATTTCCTTGTTTTTTTCTAGAAGATTTCTGTGATTAATATAATAATTTCTGAGTTTTTGGGTGGAAAAGTTCTCCTCCTTTAGTTTCCTGTCCAGTGGAAATAACACGGCGTTGTGTGTCTGGTGACGGTTTACGGTTTTGAAATTGTCGAAGGCTGCCAGGATGATCTCGTGTCCTCCTCGGACCAGACACACGGCTGCCAGCAGCTCCAGAACCAGGGCTTTGGTCCTGGAGGAAACACCACAGTCCGTCATGCCGTCAGCCTGCTGTGCGGTGGCCATTTTGTTCTAGTTTTTACTACCTGGGGTTCCTGTTGTTCAGACTCAGAGCGATCTCGTTGACGGCGTGCGGATGGGACATCACCATGTTGAAGCCGTACTGAGGAAGAGGAAGACGGGTCGGTGTTGCGTCGAGTCATGAGCGTCTTAAAGCGATGGGACGTTTTTCCTACCTGGTAGTTCATGATGGCTCTCAGACACATGATGCAGACGTGGACGTCGTCCTTCTTGCAGACGAGTCGCGAGTTCTTCAGGGTTCGGCGACTCGGCAGCGTGTTGGATCGAGTCACCAGGGTCGAGCTGTGGATGTAAAACCTCAGATTTCCCGGTTCCGTCAGACTGAGCTCAGGGTTTGAGTTTTGTTTACCTGATGGAGTGTCGGGCCGAGCGGGAAATGGACGAGGATGGAGACGGGAGGCTGCAGTCGCCATGGAGATCCTCGATGGAGCGACTCCAGGGCGAGTCAATGGAGCCCACCTCACTACCGGTGTCCGACTGCTCACCATCAAACCTGAGCAGATCAGAGAGGTCAAGGGTCATTCTCCAAAAACACCAAACTTGGAGATGGTAGGGAGAGATCTGACTCACGTGACGGCGTACTGAGCGAAGGACAAATACTCAACCAGAACATCCAGACCTCGATTTTCCTCATTAAGAAACTCTCTGACCCAGCTGGAGACAGAAAGACAAATAAATGGACAAAACGGAGAAACATGGACACAGAGAAAGACACGTTGGACACTAGATGTGTTCCCATTAACTTTAAGACTGATCAAGTTTTAACTCTAGAATGAGGTTGTTTTATTTCAAAAACTGCAATGGAAACACTTGTTTCATGTCACCTAAATCACACGATCAACAGCTGAATATTACTACTGCCGGAAATGACAAAGAAGACAACAGGAAGTGGTCAGAGCGCGATGGCGCTGCATGATTTTGAATTGTGTTTCTTTTTCTGACATTGGCGGAAAGTTTTGTACACATTTGTAACGGAAATGCAGATAGAGACGGAGGAGTTGGACGGACAGCTACCCGATGTGGTTTGTACGCAGAGAAATCTCGAGCTCTCGGAGAGTTTGTGTCGACTCCTGAACTCTTCGTCTGAACTTCTGTGGACAGAAAAAATGAAAATATTGTCAAAAACTCTGAGCTTCCTCTTCAACAGTTTAGTAAACGTCTAACATGCACAAAATCATTAGACTTTGAGTAAAATCTGTTTCTGTCATTTCACCTTTCGCGTCACAGCCGGATCGAGGAAGCCTCTCAGTTTCTGGATGTAGGTATGAGGGGGGTTCTTCACCTGGAATCTCTCCTGACAACACAGAAATGCATCATGGGAAACCAAATATGATTCAACCAATCTGTTCCTGAGTTGTAATGTCAAAATTAGAAAATGCCAAGCTAGGTTAGCTTGAATACTGTTGGGTAAAACCATGAGACCATGGACAGACACCTGCAGGACCTACCTGATCGCAGATCAGCTCCCACTTCTTCTCGTTGTCATAGGAACGCAGCAGACGCACCTTGTCTGGCGGCAGGTTCATCGAATTCTGAAAGACAAATAGTCTACTTTAGTTCGTGACGCAAAAACCTCGTCTACTTTAGTCCTTGAAGACAGAAACCTCGTCTACTTTAGTCCATGAGGCACAAACCTCGTCTCCTTTAGTCCTTGAAGACAGAAACCTCGTCTACTTTAGTCCAAGAGGCACAAACCTCATCTATTTTAGTCCTTGAAGACAGAAACTTTGTCTACTTTAGTCCATGAGGACAGAAACCTCGTCTGCTTTAGTCCATGAGGACAGAAACCTCGTCTGCTTTAGTCCATGAGACAGAAACCTCGTCTGCTTTGTGAGGCAGATCCATAGTTCTCTGATTCTTGTCTTTCACTCCACAACGTGGGCCACTAGCTGAGCTAATTCTGCCATTATCTCTGTGAACTTTGACCCTCAGGGAGCCCCAGTGGACTGGTGATTTTCTGTTTTTCCCTGGTAGCTTGCTGCTTCGACTTGCTCTGACCGGATGTTGCTTCCTCTTCAGGGAATCGTTCCTTTCCCGTCGCCACATGGTTGTTCAGGCGGACGGGGCTTCCTTTGTAATCTGAGTCTGTTATGTTTTCATATCTGATCTGATATTGATCCGCCAATGTGATCGGGTCGTGGATCTGATCATGAATTAGCCGTGTTCAGCTGTCTCAGCAGATCAGGATGTTTTCACCTAATTAGCCGTGTGTCATGCATGCATGGCGGATCAGAACCTGCAGGTTCTTCCACTCACCAGGGCGATGGAGAACCGCTCCTCCAGCTCTGCCGGGTCGGGCATTGGCAGTCGGACCGGGGCGGCTCTGGACCGGATCACGGCCAGCTGGCTCTCCATGCTCTCTGTGTTCCCCATAACACACACACACACACCCTCTCACACACACCGAGGCAGACGAGCGACCACAGCGGACGCAGCGAACACACCCACCCGGACCTCCGCGCTCAGACACACAGCAGCAGGAACATGTGGTCGGCCATGACGGACGGAGGCGGCTGGAGGCCCGGGATGCTCTTCCTGTCCTCGAACGATGAAGATCCCCTCCTCCTCCTCCTGTCTGCCTCTTTGTCTCTTGCAGGCAGCGATGCTGCTGATGCTGCTGATGCTGATCCAGATGAAGCCCGGCTCTGCAGCCGTGTTGTGTGTTTGGGTGAAGCGTGTGTGTGTGTGTGTGTCGCAGATGAGCCGGTTAATCCTCCCCCTCTCCTCCCCCACACCAAGAAAGAAAGAGAGTCGGCCTCCCCCTCTTTGTCTCTCTCTCCCCTAGAGCCGCCGTCCGTGTGGAGCTCGCTCGACCCTCCCTGCTCAGACAATGAACCTTCTGCCGCCCAGGCCCCGCCCCTCTGGCCTCGCTGGGGGGAGGTGGATAATCTGACTCTGGATCAGCTGCTGCAGCTTTCATTCATCACATCCATCAGGCCGCCTGCTCAAAGGAGCACGGTCCAGAACCAGGTCGGTTCTGATCTCATTAAAACATCCAGAGGTCCTGATGGGCCGGGTGTCGTTTTTACTCCAGATTAAACTTAAATTCATGTTAAATTTAATCTCATCTTCAGATTAAAACCTGAGAAATGAACTGATTAAAAGAAATTAAAGAGTTTTGAAGGAGGAAACTCCTGATGTTCTGTGGAACAGCGCCCTCTGCTGGAAACTCACTAAACTAACTAAACACTGAATGCACCGTCCACTTTATTAGGTACACCGTTTAACAACTAAATATTTAGCTACAACTTAAATATTAGCTAAAAAAAAAACAACTTAGTAAGTTAAAAATAGGTCTGAAGCTAAATATCGAGTTAGTAACCTAAAGATGTAGTTTAGAAACTAAATATACTTTGAGCAAACTGAGCATTTAGTTAGGAAGCTAAATATTAAGTTTGAGGGTATTTAGAGTATTTTATTATTTTCTGCTTATTTAGCAAGCTAAACATTTATCTTAGAAACAAAATATTTATCTTCATAAATATTTATTTTGAGCTAGCTAAATTGTTAGCTCTCAGCTAGCTAAACATTTTATTTATTAAGTTAAACATGTAGCTTTTAGCTACGTGTTTAGCAAGCAATCAACATATCAGGAAAGCTCAATATTTTATTATCAAATATTCCATTTCTAATTTAGCTCCATAAATATTTAGTTCTGAGTTGGTAGATATTTATCAACGTATTTAGTTTGAAACTAAATATGTTTATCTGAACTAAATATTTTTCTTGCGAAATATTTAGCTTGGAAATTAAATATTTTTGCTCAAATAAATATTCAGATAAAAACTTTAAATTTTAGATTTAGATTTCAGCAGCAACATTTTGGATCTTAATGAAACAAACAAATGTTTGCATTCTGATGGTTCTGGAAGTTTCCATCATATTTTATTTCCTCTTCTGGTTCTGGTCCAGACCCTGCAGTGTTCTGGTTGAGCAGCAGAGGGCGCCGCAGCAGGACTCGGAGCCTCCTGGATGCTGCGGCTCTGCAGCGGCTCTCTGCGGTGTCGCCATGGGAACGCTGCTGTCTCTGCCTCCCGGCTGCCGATCCGCGGCGGCGGCTTTGAAGGAGCCGGCGGAGGTTCCTGATGAGGATGAGGAGAAGAAGAAGAGGCGCTCTGTGCTGCTGCAGGCACTGCGCTGCAGGAAGCGGCTGGCGGCGCTGGGCTCCAGGGGGAAGGCCCCCGAGGGCCCCAAGGTCAGAGCGCGGGCCTGGCAGGAGGAGCAGATGTGCATCAGGAGGCTGGTGGTTCAGGTCGGTACCGGCTCGGGTCAGTCAGGAAACAGAACCTCGTCCTGTCTGATGAAGTCTTCTTCTTCTGCTGCTGTCTGAAACCTGCAGGCCTCCACAGGCGAGCTTCTTCGCTGTCTGTCCGACTTCCTGCGCCGGCGCTGCGTCAAGCTGAAGGAGTTTCCGTCCAATCGGATCGTCGTCTGGCTCAGGAACGTGGAGCGAGCGCTGCTGCTGCAGGGCTGGCAGGTCAGGGTTCTGGTTCTGAACCGTCTGTTGTTAGTCAGACCTTTGAGTCCAATCTACAGTGTTCTCCAAGTTTCTGAGCTCCACATGTAAAAAATTTCCACCAAAAATTGTTTAAATTTTGAGATTAGTCTGAGAAATTTTCTAAAAAATTTCTGAACTCCAAAAGATCTCAGAAAATTTTAATGTTTTTCTACAAAATTCTTTAGATTTTTGGTGGAAATTTAGTCTTTTTCTATCTACAATAGCATTAATAGGCTGTCGTACGTTTATCTGTCTGCAGCATTTCTTACTGTTTGCTGCAAGTTTGTACCTTTTTCCACCATTTTGTGGTTGACCATCGTTCTCTGTCTCTCTGCAGCATCAGGGCTTCCTCAGCCCGGCCAGCCTCGTCTTCGTCTACCTGCTCTGCAGAGATGCGGTGGACGAGGACACGGCCTCAGAGCAGGAGCTCCACGCCACCTTCCTCACCTGTCTCTACCTGGCCTACTGTTACCTGGGCAACGAGATCTCCTACCCCATGAAGCCGTTCCTGGTGGAGTCGAGCCGCGACGTCTTCTGGGAGCGAGCGCTGGAGGTCATCGAGCGTCTGAGCGCCGACATGCTCCGCCTCAACGCCGAGCCGCGATTCTTCACAGAGGTCTTCCAGGACCTGAAGAGACATGGCGGCGCTGGTGAGACCCAGAGGACAGCGGGCCAAGGGATGGACGATCTGGACTGAGAGACCCCCACTCGCCCAGGGCTGATGCAACTTCCTGTTAAGGTTCCCTTGGCAACCACACTGGTACAGAACTCCCAGGAGCGCTTCTGACTCACCGGAACCTCCTCAGGTACAAATGGGTCCAGATGAAGATGTCTCTGGGCTTCAGGACCAGACGGCAGGACACTACAGTACATTGTAGTGTACATTTCACACCTGATGGCCCGGTAGACCCGGTTCTACTGGGGATCAAGATGCTACGTTTGATCCCCAGCTGGTTTGGTTCTTTTAAACTGAACTGGGTCAAACAATCCAAACTAACTGAACCTGTTCCCTTCCTGGCCTTTGGGGGCGCTGCACCAAGAACCATTGAAGGAAACGACACTAAAGACACGGAGAGAAACTTCCTTCTTCACCAAAAGGAACCAGACGGAGAGCCGTCAGATTTTAGCGGCTATTAGTCTTTGGGTGCGTTGTAGTCCACTTCCTGTTTGTGGAGCGCTCTCCGGTCTGCTTGGGGTTCACATCTGAATTGAATCCAGACCGAGGATTGATGACGCATTCTCACCTCCTCAAACGAACCGGACTTTGACTATTCGGATTAAAGAGGATTAAACATGGCTGGTGTGAATTCAGCACAAGATTACAATGGATTACAACAGAAGGTCAAAACCTGAAGAACAAAACTATTTACCCAAACAAACATGCATCTGTGAAAACTATGCAGTAGATTTATTTATTTTTCTAGATGGTTAGCTTAGCGTAGCTTACCTGTATACAACTCTATTTTTATCACCGCTATGCTAACTGATGTATCAACTTCAAGTGAAAATTATTGAACCATTATAGACTGTTTAATTAAACAGCTGTTTAATTACCTCCCTTTCTTCTTTATGAAGTTTTCTTTCTTACTTTTCATCATTATTTACATCAACCCACCAGATGGGTTAGAAAATTAAAGTTTTTTTTTTTAAGTTACTACATTTCCATCTAAAATAATTTAAATAATTATTTCTAAGTAGCTGTTGTCTACCTTGAGGCCTGTATATTTGTTTTATTGGTCAAACTCCATCTTTAATGTTAAACAGCCTGATGTAAAAACATTGAGAAGTTTTAACTATTGTTATCAAATGTTATCAAACACGCCGTTTTGAAGCTAAAAACTCTCTGAAATATACAGAGAATTAATTCATTTAAAGCTTAAACTCAGTTTCACACAAACACTAAGACTCTAGCATAAATGTTTGGCTGTTGAACTGGACCGTTCACGGTCGCGATCAAGCTAATTTTCTATTAGCGTCTCCTCAAATCTTTCTGATAAACATTAAATTACCGAAACACATTAAAACATACCTTTATCTTGTTTTCTTTTTTATTCTTCCTCTTTCTTTTCTCTCTCCCTGAAGTATTTAGTCCTTTTTACCACAGTTTTTTGCTTCCACCGGAGCTTTGGCGGTTTGTTGCACTGACATTGGCTCATATTACAGGTGAAGGGGGGGCTAGTGGCCCCGGGGCCTCAGCAGCCGCTAAAATAAAAAATAATGCAGCATTATCAGGGCTGTAGTTCCCATTATGGCCCCCAGAGGGCGGAAAAACTCCGCTCTGAATATAAAGATGAGTTTTAGAGCTGCAGCTGATTTCTGATTCTCACTAATGTTTTTAAAAGTAAGTTTGTGTATAATTGATTAAGGTAGTAAAACGTAGATGTTGTGTATCGGGACGACTACCGGAGTTGATGTCAAAAATAAACAAAAACAGCAAAGAGAATAATTATTGTTTTCAGTACCATGTATTTGGAAAAATATAAGTGAACACCATAAAAAAAACTAAACAGAAATATACACACAATACTGCAGTTAGCTTTCAAGATTAATGTGCACAAGGTCTTTTTAAGATGTAAAAAACAAAGTTCCCCATTAAATGGCCAGTTTCCACTTCATTAAAACAAACAGGACTAGTAAAATATCATCCTGCTAGTTAACCAGACATTTTCAAACAGTCACCAGTAACTCAATTTTACTCAAGTTAAAGTACCATATTAATATTACACAGCATGCATTTAATTTATCAACATTGCCAGCTAACCAATTAGCATAAGCTACAAACAAACAGTTTATTCACAGCTCAGCAATTCCATTTACAGTTCAGTTCATGACAAACTTCATGGCTCCAGACTCACTGGTGATTCAGATCTTAGTCACATTTGTTTTGTGAGCCTTATGGTGCAAATAGAACAAAAAAGGAAGAAACACAAAGTAGTTTGGAAGTAGAAACCAGCTGAATGAATCATGTGATTCTGATGACTAAAAACTAGACATAACGGTGATGCATTTAGAGGAAAAGGCCTAATTAAAGGCCAATTTTACTAAGTTTCTTAAGGAAATAAAGATGACAGAAAGCGGGCTCAGAGATGTTGAATATAATAAGATAAATTTGCTATGAGAAACATTTGAAGAGTAAAAGATCTCATGGTGGAGTGATGATGTCAACCAAGAAGGTTGTTGGTTCAATTCCTGTTGGATTTTAGAAAGTGCTTTTGTTTTGTCAACTGCTCTCAAAGTGAAAATTGAAGAGTTAAATGCGCTAAAAGACTCTGAAAGAGGAAATGACATCACAGTTTCTACAGTGGGTCACGTCAGAGCGTCAAATAATGAGCTGTTTGACTCAGCAGACATGAGCGGAGTCATATCGATGGAGTCGCTTCTGTCCCCAATTCCAGGATCTTCATCCTGATCCTGGTCTCCTCCTGCAGAGACGATGGAGAACGATCAGAAGAATAAAGAAACAAACTGCAAGAAAACATTCATATTCTGAGAACTTTGACTAGACGATTGGTCATGTGAGGAACTGGGATGAGTGAAACATTTACTCTGTTTTTCTGTTTTTGTAAACAAAACCAGTTGGAGGCATAAAAAAGCTTCTGCCTCTTTTACTAAAACAACATTCACAATCTGACAGTAATTCATTCCGACTCCTGTGTGTCGAACGTCTCCTGCGCCATCTTGGTAGGCAAAGTGCAAAACATACCGGACACACAGATCCAGGCCAACCGACAGAAAATATTATGAATATTATTTATTATAAACATTAATGAATGAAAAACAAACATGTTTCAATTAAAAACTGACCAGACACACAGCTGCAGGTTTTATAAGTTTCATAAGATTTTTATTAAAAGAAACAGATTTGGAAACATTTCCTTCTGCTTGATTTTGTTATTTTTTGCTACTTATATGAATTATTGTCATTTTAGTTTTTAAAATACTAAAATTTCCACTTCAATTCATATTTTCATCCATCTGATGATGTAATTTTTAAATATTAAATGATTGATCATTTGCTCAGTTACTCAGTACTTTAGTAACTGAAAGTACCAAATACTTTTTACTCTTCCTTGAGTAATTTCTTGGAAGACGAGAGTAAAAAAAATGTTGAAGTAGTGCTACTCTTACTTTAGTATACGTTTTGGGTTCTCTGCCCTCCTCTGTTTATTGATTGATCAATCGATCGATCGATCGATACACTGCAGACTAACCTTTGAATTTGAGCAGAACTGTGGTCCACGCCACCAGCTTCGTTCTCCTCCAGACGGCACACCTGTAGCTCTCAGCGGCGCCGGCGCTGGGTCGGATCAGGGTCAGGCTGATGTCTCCGGTTTGCAGCAGGTCTTCGTTCATCTTGGTTCTGCTTCTATAGTGATGGTCCTGCTCTTGCAGCTGATCAGAAAGGTATCTATAAGTATGAACAGTCACCACTGGTTTCGGGTCGTAGCGCCACCACACAACTCTGGCGCCTTTAAGGAGTTCAGGCGCCACTTTAAACGGCAGCTGGACTGACTCCGCCCCTTCCTCCACCTCCACCTGACAGTCTGAGAGAACAAAGATCAACAAAGATCAGCTGCTGCTTTTCTCTCACTCTGTGGATGTAAAGTCCAACATTAATGATAAGAGTGGATGACGTTTTCCTCTTTAACATTAAAAAATACACCTGATCTGGTTTTTGGGGGCTCGTCCGGGATAAACAAACAGAGCAATATGACATTACATTTCTTCCTGTTCATTAATATTTGTTGTGATATTTAATGTTAAACAAAAATGAAACTTATTTAAGCTTTTGATCAAAATCAGTCAGTATTGCAGGGATGTCCAAACTTTTTGTCAGATTCCAGCCACTGACCTTCGACCTTGAGCTGAACTTGCTTCTTATACTCGATCCCATCTGGGCTGAAGACGCTGCAGGTGTAGATGTTGCTGTCTTCGTAGGTGAGGTGTTTCAGAGTCAGAGAGAGGTCTCCAGTTTGTATCCAGTCTTTGTTTGTCTCTGTTCGGTTTCTGTAAAACTCGTCCTGGTTCTCCAGATAGTCAGAACCGTCCTGAAACATGTGCATCATCCGGTTTTCATGGTCCTTCCACTCCACTTTATAAGACTTGAACAGCTCGACTGAGGTTTGGCAGGGTAGCAGGACTTTGTCTGCACCTGAACACACCTCCACCTGGTGGACTGAGAGAACAGCACAGACAGATTACCCAGAATGCTTAAGGAGAATCAGAGTCAGATTAAGAGGATGGAAATCTCCAGTTTTAACTCAAAGTTTTGATCTGAGGAAGCAGTGGCATGTTGCTCCACTTATTACAGCTTAAACTGTCAGACCTGAACCTTCAGAGTCACATAAAGGCTGTTACAAAGTCAGCCTTCTATCACCTGAAGAATTGACTGATTACTGCAACATGTCAGTTAATCCATCCATTTTCTGTACACCCTTATCCCTATCGGGGTCGGGACGGCTGCAGGAGGGAACCCCGTGGGGTGGGAGGAAAATGGTGTACCCGGAGAAAACCCACCATGCAAACTCCATGCAGAAAGACCCTGGGTCGGGAATCGAACCCAGAACCTTCTTGCTGCAAGGCAACAGCTCTACCAACTGTGCAGCCCATGTCAGTTAATTAAATTTTATAATGTAGCACTTTCCATCTGTTCAAGAGTTAAAATGACTAACATTAGTAGAATTTAGTCCTGTCACAATAAATCAATTAATCACATGATTAATTAAAATAATCAATTTGCATGATAAACCCTTCACTTTGGTGTTTTGGTCTCAACTAAACCTTTTTTTCAAGGTTAATTTTGTTAATTCATTTTATTTGTTCTATTTATTTGATGAATTTTGGCAAAGTGTAACATTTGTTTCTCATGTCATGGTTTCTGTGTTTTAAAGCTCGTTGAACTGTGTTGTCGCTGAAATGTTCTGCACTAAAAAACATGAAATGTGTCAAGTTCATATGGCAGCTTCAACACGCCTGAACGTGTCGAGGAATGCCACATGTGAAAGCGTGTCTCCGTGGAGACGACTCTTTCAAAGTTACACCTACGTGTTGGGGAAACGATCAGCATTGATTCTTCTGGATCAGCAAAATGAGCTCAGATATGGCAAAAACACAAGATATTACCAAGTATTGTAGCCTACTTTCTAGAGATAATCCTTTAATATTGAAGAAAAATTTATAACTTTTACATGGGATTTTTTTTAATAGGCTATTAAAGAATTATTTACTTAAACAATCTCCTATATTCTGCTGAAAAGTTACTTGTAAGTTTTATCGTATGTCAAGTGTAATAAGTTATTTACACTAGAAATTAGAATAAAATTACTTGCTTGTATTTAGAGTTTTTGCAGTTTTGTCATAATATTGAATTTCAATAAAAGCATCTAAATGTTGTTAAAACTCCGAACATCCCATTTATGGCAGAAATATTGGCTGAAAAACCCAAAGATTAGATCAGAGGACAGACTGAGACTCTGGACAGAGTCGTGTTGCTATGGTAACTGCTGTAGCATAATACCATGGCAACCGGAGGTGACAAGCAGAGGGGCAGCCATGACGGTTGCGCAGCATTGATAGCGGACAACATGGTGGAGGTGAAGCTCTGACCCCAGCCCGTCAGCTGACCTTTGACCTGCAGCTGAACCTGTTTCTTCATCAGGATGCGTTTCCTGCGGCTGTAGACGCAGCAGGTGAAGGTGTCCGTGTCTGCGCCTGTGGGGAACTTCAGCTTCAGGCTCAGGTCTCCCGTCTGCAGCGGGTCCACGCTCATCTCAGTCCTTTCTCTGTAGAACTGGATCTGCTTCTCTGGGACGGTGCAATCGTTCTGGAAGACGTGGACCTTGTTGCCATGGCGATCAGTCCATTCCACGCTGGCGTTGCTCGGCAGGCGATCGTTGGTCCTGCAGGGCAGCAGGACAAAAGGCTGACCGGAGTCCACCTCGATGCTTTTAATGTAACCTGAGAGGAGGAAGAAGAAGAAGAATATCGGCTTCAGAGGAGCCAAAATGTGGCGCGGGGTCCTTTCCTTGGTTTGTTTTGGTCTCTCTGACTCACCTCTCCTGAAGTTGTTCCTAAAATGACAGAAAACGCCTCCAGAAGCGATTAGAACCAGAACCACCAGAGAACCCAGCAGGAGTCTGGCCCACACTGAAAACAGCTCTGAGAAGAAAAATGAGCAACATCTTCATCTGCGACCCGTCAGTTGCTACAGCAGCAGGTTAGCTCCTGACCTTTGACCTTAGGCGTCTGCCTGGTGGAGGTCTGCCTGGTGGAGGTCTGCCTGGTGGAAGTTCTGGGGTCAGAGGTCACGTTCAGGGTCAGGTTTCCTGTCTGCGGAGCGGTGGTTGTGGTTCTGTTGAGCGGAAACTGATCCGTCAGCTCTTCTCCCCGTGTTGTGTTGGCGGTGGGCAGACTGAGGTTGGAGCGGGTCCAGTCCACCGTAGAACCGTTCAGAACCAACATCTGGACCGTAGGGACCAGCAGGGACACTGAGAGGACAGAGACAGTTGTCATGGCAACGGGTTTACAGAGGAAGGTCGTTTACAGAAAACAACCAGCAGCAGCAACAGTGTTGACGTCATAAAACAAAGAAAACAATCGTGAGGCAAAAGCAGGAGATGAAACTCACTTTAAAGCTTTTTTGGAAAAAGTGTATTCTCATATTTGTTAAAACTGTCACCATGTCATAACAGTCTGTTCTGAGACAGATAATCTGTGAAAAATGAAACAAATCAAGCTCCTATGCGTTCTTCCAGTACGAACTGAAAACAACCAATCAGAGCCAGGAGGCGGGGCTTAGCGTTGTCAGTCATAATCTGGTGTGGCGCTGCCAGCTTTTCTCTGAATGCTATAGCTAGCTACATAGCCACAGCTGATAAACAAATTTCCAGTAATGGTAAGTTGTTTCTCCACCATTAGCACATTTAGCAGGAGGTACATGGGGTTGACTGGCACTAAGCCCCTCCTCCTGGCTCTGATTGGTTGTTTTTGGTGCATTTATTCAAACAGCAATATCTGCTCAGGGAGATCGATCTTTTCAGATTGTCTCATGATAAACAGTCATAACAGCTTCAACAAATATCAAAAACATTTTATAAAAGTTACAAACTTCAGGTTTAAATGTGACATTTTTCAGACGGGTTATTCTTTAAAATATCTTTAAAAGTTTCTATTGACACAAAGGAGCTTTTTGAATCTCATTCCAGTGTTTTTCAGCAGCAAAATGGGAAGATATATATATATTTATATTTATATTTGATTTATATTGGGAACGTTGAGCAAAATGATTTGTACCAGTAACAAGTTGCAGATATTTATGGACAAAGACATAAAGAACTGTCATCTGCATAAAGATGAACATATTAGCTTAAAGTTGATCAATAAACTGATTTATATAAACAGAAAATAGATCCTAGAATGGATCCCTGAGGCACACCGAGAGAGGTTTTGAAAAGATAAAAAATAATTTTAGATCCTGAATTCAGTGTGAATATTTATTCCAGTTTCAGCTTCGTCATGAAGTGGACCAATAGAAAGACAGGAAACAGGCAGAAGGCGGGGCTTATGTAATCTTAAAACATTCAACCCACAAAGACGCCAAAATATCCAAACAGTCTCACTGATAAACTTCAGCTCCAGCAGAACCAGACCCAGAAGAACCGGATCTTACCATGCAGGAGGATCCAGATCATTTTCTTCTTCCTGTCAGAACGAACGGATCAGAAACCGTCTGGACTCATTCTGGTGAAACTCTCTGCTGCTCGGCGGCCCCAGCTGAGTCTGAACCGGTTCTGTTGGATCCAGAAACGAAAATGTTCACCAGAACCAGTTTGTCAGGGTTCAGATCATGCCCCCTCCATCAGTCTGCGCTCTGATTGGACGCAGGGTGTTTTTAGAGCTTCGGGTCGAAGCCGCTTCGTGCTGAAACAAGAGGAGAAGAAGCAGCTTTAAAACGGACAAAATGCTGAGAAACTGAAGAGATTTATTTCTTAATACGTTTGTTGTTTTCATCTCTTCAATAATATATTATAGACAATATTTTAATAAAGGAAACTGGTGTAATTTTTGTAGAAAATGAATATTTAAATCATTTTTAATCCAAAATATAAACACAATTGGTGGGTGAAATTACAGGTAAATATTTTCCAAAGCTTTTTTAGTGTTTGCTATCCTCATTTTCACTTATAAATGTACATTTTTTTCCCCTGTAAAACCTTAAATTAATCATAAATTTGCTCCATTCTTTAATTGTGGAACTACTGGACATGATGGATTTTACATAAAGTTAAGAAAATGACTGATTTTAGAACAAAACAGTGTTTTCAGTCAGAGGCTTCTTCACATTCACAGTAACAGACTGCTATAGAGATCCTTCCTACCATCAGCCTCTACAGCTATTATGAATTTATAATTTTCTTTTTTACTTCTGACAGCTGAAACTCAACCAGAGTGACCTTGACCTTAGACTGAAAGGTCAGGGATTTAATTGACCTTTCAGAGATTCATTAAATCAAATTAAACTTTAATCAGCCAATCAGATTCTGGTGATTTATTAGTAATTACCTACATATTTTTAATAAATCATTTAAATATTTTAGTTTATATTTTCAGATCTGTTTCAGCTGGTGATATTTTCTAATTTTTGTGGCTTTTTATTGAATAAATAAAGATGAATCAGAACATACATTATTCCCGAGCTGAAAAGTCCAACGTGACCCAAACGCATCGTTCTGAATCCAGTTTTTCTTTTTTATGGAGATTTGTTTAAAAACTAACAGCAGGAGCTGAACTGAACCGGCCACCATCGCCCTCTGCTGGACAAATCTCGGAACTGCACCAGTTCTTCTTTATCAGTTTTTCTTTTGAGAGAATAATAAATGCTCATGTTTAGACTAATGTGACTTAATCTATATTATAATCAAAGAACGGTATGGTGATGTGTTTAAAAAGCAAAATAACCAGGCTGAGAGCAAATTATGGGATGGAAAAACATAAGAATAAATACCTGACGGGATAAAAGAGCCTGAAAGCAGCTAAAGTCCAAGGAGACGTTTGGAAAGATCCTCGGGAATCCTGGAGAACTGCTGATCCAGAAAGCTACTGAACCGGAACACTTTGACAAATTACAGGCGAGTCGGAGCCGCAGGAAGAGGAAGCAGCTTCAGAGCAGAGTTAACATTATAAACAGCAAATCATTAACAGATCCAACATAATTCAGGAACCAACCAAGAAGTTGATGACTCAGCAGAAATCGGTTCCATGCATAAACAAATTTTATCTTGAAAACAGAAACATCAATATTTCCAGGACCTGCTCAGTACATTTTCCCTGGAACTGCTGAATCTACTCTATGAACATCTGGAAGATTCAAAGACTCCAGTTCAGATGATCATGAATTTCACATCTGCATTTGATACAATAAAAATCAAGTTTTGTTACATAAACTTTTAACTCAGTTCAGCATCAATCCCGAGTAATGTCATGGATTATGGACTTTTTAATGCACAAACCTCACCAGGTGAAAGTAAAGTAGTAATTTATCTCCGTCCACAGGGCTGCGTTTTGTCCCCCTAATGTTTGTTCTCTACATAAACGACTGATTTACCCAAACAGATACATAATGACATTTACCAATGACACAGGAATCGTTTGTCTGCTACAGGATGAACATGAATGAATATCGATGACTTTGTTCAGTGCTGCGTTCAAATAAATTAAAACTAAACATTACAAAAATTACAAAAATGAACATTGAAGGACCTCAGCACAGCTTCCCAGGATAAAAAGCAACATCTAAAGTAAATTTTGAATATTGTTCTCATCCTTTTGTAATCAATGATTGTGATAAATTCCTATTTCCTGTTAACATATCCATTATTCAAATGAAATATTCCTTTGACAGATTTTAGTTTCAAACATTTAAATCTAAATTCTGATTGAATCATATTAAAATGTGGAGAGAATTTTTAAATATGTATTTCTTCTTTTTAAAGTTATTTGAAGATTAGATCAAAGTTTTCATAAGGAGTGAAAGTGAAGTCCTTATGAACTCCGACTTCTCTAGACAGTCGTTTGTGTTTATGTTGGTTAACTGGAACTAAGAAAAGCCTCTAATCCAAACTGTTGTGGTTCGTTTTGCCTCCGCCCATCTGCCCGCCTCCAGCTCAGGTCCAGCCCAGACTTGTTCCAGGAAGTTTCTCTTCTGCCATCAGTTTGTTTTCTTCAGTCGAGTCGTCTTCTGACTCTGTTTGGCTTAAACAAACTGTAAGTTTATTTTATTTCAGTTAATTAGACTTGAACTTTAATAACGGTCAGTTTCTGATCTCTGGAGTTTTGAGAACATGTTCATGTTTTATAAGAACAAAGTTTAAGTTTTACTGTAAAAGATGGATAATCTGCAGGATTATTAGATCATTGATTAAATGATCAATGATCAGCTGATGTTTGGTTTTCACTGAACAAACAGCCTTTTTTCCCAGGCCTTTGTTTTCAGGTCTACTCAGAGCCACAGGCTTGTGACTGGAAGGAAGCAGGTTCAACTTCAGCTTCCTCCTGTCACACATCGATGTGGCCCTTGGCCCCAAACTGCCTACCGATCTGCGTATCAGTGTATAAATGTGTGAGCGTCTATGTGTGAAAATGGGTGAATGTGACTCTAGTTTAAAGCGCTTTGAGTGGTCCAAATGATTGGAGAAGTTCAGTCCATTTACCATTTAAATCAAACTTTCACTTTCAGATTTGCAGCCAGCAGAGCAACAGAGCTGCTACTTCATGTGATTCCTTTCAAATTAAAAGCTGGACCAGTTGTTAAAATGTTAAATTTGTCACAATATTAAACTGAATTAAGATTTGATGGAGAATATAACCCATCTGGAAATACTGATCATTGAGAAATCCAGCAGGTCCAGATGTTCAGTTTCTTCTGCTTCATTTCTTCACATCATTCAATGTTTGAGTCTCCTTCACTTTACAAACTGTGGACATGATTTAATGTCACAATATTTGTTTCAGAAGGTCAACGACAACTTAAGTTGTTAATTTGAACTTGCGGGTATTTATCAGTGAATTAAAATGTAAAGTGATGATCTGTGTTGTTGGCTGCAGCTCCCTGAGTGTGAGCTGAGCAGGATGGATCAGGGTGAGGACACAGTTCCTCTGCCTGAAGCCGCTCAGTGTGGAGAACATGAGGACCAGAGCAAAGTTCAGAGGTCAGACCAGCATCTCTAACTGACCAGGACTGTTCTCCATGTCAGAGCTCAGCATCACCACAATGTCTCCATTCACAGGAAACTGCCAGAACCAGAACCTGAACCTGAACCTGAAGCAGATTCTGATTCAAGTTGTGAGTCTTTTGACAGCTTTGATTCAATAATACTGGATTTTTATTTTAATCCCGATCAACCTTCAACTGCAGACAGGTGAGCTGCTTCTAAATATTTTAACTAATAGTTTAAATTAATTTTATTCCAACACATTTAATGAGAACGTAGCTCTTTCTCATATGTGTGTTAATGTGTAAAACAGTGTGTATTGGATGCTAGTTAATGGGAAAAAATCAATCGATCGTATAATTCTGATGTTATCAAATGATATTATTAGACATTGGAGCTAAAGTCAGTCGTTCTTCCATCCAGTTGAGTCATTTTGCATCATCTTGTCGTCATCAGAGTTGCTGCTTCTGCAGAGCTGGAGGTGATGGTTATGATGCTGATTCAACTTTTATATGGAAACTAAATAATCCAAACTGAATCTGATGTAGAAATGGTCCCTCACTCTTTTTTTCCAACATGGGAGCATTCAACACCTTCTAAAGTCTTATTAAACTGAGTTTGAATTAAATGCCTTATTTCAGGATCCACCAGAACCTCGAACCAAAACCAGAGCCAGAGCCCAGCTGTGTGTCCTTGAAGAGCAATAAGCCAAAGAGTCTTGGTATTGATTTTAAATCGGATCAACCTTCAACTGCAGACAAGTGAGCTCTCTTACTAAATGTTTTAGCTAATTATTTTAATTAATTTTATGCTATCATATTTAATGAAAACACAACTATCCAAACTAAACCTGATGTAAAATTTGTCCCTCATTTTTATCTTCTAACATGAGAGAAATTAGCAGCTTTTAAAGTTGAATCCATTCAACATGATTATCAGTCTGATTATTAGCCAGCTGCCACTAAATGTCTGACTGACTGGAACAAGTGGAGCATATAAGATCAATTAACTTGTTCCTATTTATTTTTCACATTTTGCACAGCACTTCAGCTGCTATGTTGTATTTTAAGTGCTTCAGAAATAAAGTGGAAGTTCTACATGATTAAGTTGATTATATCCGATGGAGTTTATTATTTTTCCAAGCTTATTTGAAACAGGTTTTTTGAAAATTAGATTGTATCACCATGAAATGCATATGTATAAATGAAAAGAAAAAAATAAATTTGTTTGTAAATGTATATGTAAAAGAGCTATTTAGTGTAAGTGTTAGTGTAAATAATTTAGTTAAGATAACTGTTCTAAAACTAAAAATCAACCGAGACATTTCATAATTAACCTTGTAAAAGAAATCTATATAAATGTAATTTAAATCTCCGTAACTTCAGCACAGTTACCTTGACAAGTCCGACTCTGTCAGGTAAGAAATTTCACTCCTAAATAGGGAAAGACAAACGTTTTAGAGCAGGACACCACATGGAGAGTCTGACTGTTTGATATTTAACCGGATGTGAGCCGACACTTCCTGGTTTCTCCACAGAGTGACCCAGCATCGCTCCAGTGTTCCCAGTGATCTGCCTGCCCAGAAGCATCAAACAGAACTGGACTCCATATTTATGGTCTGCACATCAGTTCTGTTCAGTCTCTGTAGACCAGAGGACTGTCAGTCCATCTAACTGGTTGTCTCCAGTCTGATGTGTCCTTCATTTTTTAATTCTGTTCCAGCTGCTGGAGGAAAACATCGTCACTTTCGTGAAGAACGAGCTGAAGAGGATGCAGAAGGTTCTGAGTCCAGATGATCCAGAATGCTCAGAGGGTCAGAAGGAGGACAACGATGATCTGGATGGAGAGGATGAAGAGCAGAGGATGAGCAGCAGAGAGGCTTTCGTGAATATAACACTGAACTTCCTGAAGAAGATGAAACAAAAGGAACTGGCTGACTATCTGCACAGCAGTAAGAGGATTTCTACAAAGATTTAACCATTTTAATTCAAAATTTGCATCAATGTTTGGCTTAAGTAATTTTTAATAACTATGATTACATTTATTATTATAGAAATTGGTAGTAAAAATAAACTTTCTTAAGCATAGTCAGGGGACGAATTTCAATGTCTCTGGAATATAAGGCAAACTTATCAGTCTCGGGTGATTGACCACTTCATTGACCACTGCACTGAACAGCACTGGAAACCTGATGGTTTTTCCACCAAGTATTGATGTCTGAACTCTTCATGAGATAAAACATGCATACAATTTTCAGACAGAGCAGCCAATTGATTCAAATATTTTCTCATTGCTAAAAGCAAAGTGAAAAAAAAAACAGACATTTGAAAAAGGTTGACTCCAAAGAACACTCTTTTCTGTTTAGCTCTGGGTTTTATTGTTGGGGTGAGTTCTGATCACTGATGTCTTCAGTGCAATGAACGCTGAGGAATGTGGGCCAGTCTGTTTAAGTAAAATGGACTTTAACAACTTGCAGAGTAAATTATCTATTTTAGTGATAATATAGAAGCAACAGCAAATATTTAAACACATTTCTAAATATTAGTTTAAAACTTGTTGAATTTCTCTCAATAGAACACTATGGATCGACATGTCAACATAAACTTAAATCCTCCCTGAAGAAGAAGTTCCAGTGTGTGTTTGAGGGAATCGCTAAAGCAGGAAGTCCAGCCCTCCTGAACCAGATCTACACAGAGCTTTACATCACAGAGGGAGGAACTGGAGAGGTCAACCAGGAACATGAGGTCAGACAGATTGAAACAGCAAACAGGAAAAACCACAAAATGGAAACAACAATAAAACTAGAAGACATCTTTAAAGTCCCACCTGGAAGAGATCAACCAATCAGAACAGTGATGACAAAGGGAGTGGCTGGCATTGGGAAAACAGTCTTAACACAGAAGTTCACTCTGGACTGGGCTGAAGGCAGAACCAACCAGAACATCCAGTTCATATTTCCATTCACTTTCAGAGAGCTGAATGTGCTGAAAGAGAAAAAGTTCAGCTTGGTGGAACTGATTCATCACTTCTTTACTGAAACCAAAGGAATCAGTAACTTTGAACAGTTCCAGGTTCTGTTCATCTTTGATGGCCTGGATGAGAGTCGACTTCCTCTGAACTTCAAGAAGAATCTGATCCTGACTGATGCTACAGAGTCCAGCTCAGTGGATGTTCTGCTGACAAACCTCATCAGGGGGAAACTGCTTCCCTCTGCTCTCCTCTGGATAACCACACGACCTGCAGCAGCCAATCAGATCCCTCCTCAGTGTGTTGGCATGGTAACAGAGGTCAGAGGGTTCACTGACCCACAGAAGGAGGAGTACTTCAGGAAGAGATTCAAAGATGAAGAGCAGGCCAACAGGATCATCTCCCACATCAAGACATCTAAAACTCTCCACATCATGTGTCACATCCCCGTCTTCTGCTGGATGACTGCTACAGTTCTGGAGGAAATGTTGGAAACCAATGAAAGAGCCGTACTCCCAAAGACCCTGACTGAGATGTACATCCACTTCCTGGTGGTTCAGACCAAAGTGAAGAAGGTCAAGTATGATGGAGGATCTGAAACAGATCCACACTGGAGTCCAGAGAGCAGGAAGATGATTGAGTCTCTGGGAAAACTGGCTTTTGATCAGCTGCAGAAAGGAAACCTGATCTTCTATGAA